TACAAAGTAGGAGAAATATGATATTAAAGATTTCTTAGGAAACGAGATTGTACAAAATCACGTCTTCCATCATAATTCTTAGAATTCTCTATCATGTCTGACAATTTCTTGGTATTTCTACTTATGAAGGAGTTTCAACTGTTTCACAAGGATGACAAGCATTGAAACACGCGGCATAACTATTAAAAATAATTTGAGTTATACATAGTTTAACAGAATGACACGTATACATACAAATCACTCCATTATTCAGATATAAAAATTGTTGTACTGATACATTAAGATCTCAAAATTTTATCATACTATGATAAAAAAAAAAAATTTCAAATTTTAAGCTCTTATTTTATCACCTCAATTATTTTTCTTGTGTAATTTTGATGGTATTTGATTTAACGAACAAAACATTAAATACTTTGCTTATTATTTTGATAAGTAAAATTGTGAGCACCATTGTCTAGTTTTTAACCCGTTGAATGAAATATACAGAGCATCCCAAAATTATGGTACTTTCAGAAAATATGGGGTTCCTGAGGTTATTTGAAGTACCTTCTTCCTTAGCGAAAATGCAATCCGCGGCTTCGTTTATGAGTTATTAATGAAGAACACTGACCAATGAGAGGCGAGCTTGGCTACCGCAAAGCAGCCAAGCCAATGATCGAAACTGGGCTTCGTCCACTTGTTGGCTGTCTTGCACCAGTCAAACTCTCATTGGTCTCTGTTTTTTGTTAATTTTTGTTAAACAAAGCCGCAAATTGCATTTTTACTAAGGAAAAAGTTACTTCAAATGACCTCAGGAATCCCTCATTCCCGAAGTACCATAATTTTTAAACATCTTGTATAGTCATCGCAATATTAGGTTATTAAGTATGAAATGCATACTTTACTCTATAATTTCATTATAAAATCTATGCATTTCATACTCAATGACCTAACGTACGTATGAATATAATATTAAAGCTACAATAGGTGACTTATTTTTACACAAAATCTAAATGTTGTTAAAACTGTAAGAGGAAAATATCTACGCAAATAAATGCAAATAGAATTTAACTTTTTCGTTCGGTTACAATTCTGTTTTACAAGATTGAAATAGATTTTTATGATATACAGTCGCAGTACAAAGTATTCGTACACCTTTTAAAATGGAATAACATTTTTATAATTGGGCCAAGCGATCTAAATTTTTTAAGGATGTTAGAGAAATTAGTTTACTAGACAATGGCTCAAAAATTGTTTTTAAAAATTGCAATTGGTTGGCAAGATGAAAGCATTAAAAATGATGTGTTTTCAACTTTTTTATTGGGGCCTATAACGCAAATTTAACAGCTCATGTAAGGGTCAATCGATATCGATAAAATTTTCAGCATGCATATACGTCACCGAGATCTGGAGAAAGCATTTTTTAAATTTTAATTCTGGGCTCAGTTAAAAAAGTTGGAAAAACATCATTTTTTAATTCTTTTATCATGCCAATCGATTGCAATATTTGAAGCCATTTTCCAGTAAACTAACCCCTCGAACATTTCAAACAAATTCAGATGCCTTGTCCTAATGATGAAAAAAGTTATTTCGTTTTAAAAGGTGGAATAAAATGGAAGGGGAAATAAATTGTAATATCTTCCGCACACTCCTGGTGCAGTTTCAATATCTTCGAGATGTAGGATTTATTGGCAGCGATGGCAAAAAGTTGCTCGCTATATGCTCGGTTTTGAAATTACGCACCACAAAAATACCTTTTACATTCATGTATCGGTAATGTCTTTCACATAAAATCTTTTGTCTTCCAATCATAGGAGATAAACACTTTATTTTACAAATTCACATCGCACTGAGCAAAAATAAATGAAATAGAATACATTGTTTATTTGGTATCTTCAATATAGACTTATTTAAAAAAAAATCAACAACATTCCATCGTTCACGTTTCTCTTGAATTGTGTCCATCAAATATATTTTATATGTACAACTCCCGGCAGAAAATATTCGATGAAAATCGTAACGAGCGGTTTATCTTATTCTAGTTCGTGAAGATTATAAAAACATTTACGTGATGTGACAAAGCATTCTCTCTCTTACGTCAAATTATTTTGTGGTAAAGAATGATAAATACATTAATTTTTCCATAAATATTTTCTTTACGCGACGATTTCGAAGGTTTTATTTGTTAACACATTATTTAGCGGCAATGATTTCATAATTTTAGAAAGTCTACAATGTACAATTAAAAAATTCGGGGCGCAAATTAGCGGCATTAATTATTTCAATCCTGAAACAACGAGTTGTCCTCGGTAACATTAGCTAATAATTTCGGCTGTAATGATTGTGTAGAAAAAGATTGTAAAAATTCCTCTTACTATATATAGCACAATAGACGAAAATTCTACATGAAACCTCTTGCAATATAATATTGTGTCAATCTCGTTCGAAGATTTCGAACATAACTTATTAAATCTGGACGTTACGTACTTTTCTTTTAAACCGAAGTATATTGGGTGCTGCAATTGGCACTATAATGTAAACATTAATTTAAAGATTGGCATACCGTAAATGTCAACTTTCTTTCTCGTATAGGAATTCATTAGCGACAAAGAAGTGCTAACACTTGGACAGCGGAGCTCAAGTCAATTTGGATACTGTAATATATTTAGTCTGTGAGAATTAATTAAATTAGAGAATACAATTTTCACTTGTTTTACTAATAGATTTTACTACAGAAATTTTACTATAGAAAAACTAACATGTATAAATAATTCTAAATAAAGTCAATGGTTAATATGTTATAGGTTTCAATTTATTAGAATTCTATACGATAAAGTGTTAATAAAAGAACTGTTACACCTGAAATGTATAAACAATGACAGTGATAGGACTCGATTAATTTGATCGAACACATTTGGCCATGGGTTGCAGGGTCATTTCTCATTTCACCTAATTGATTGCCCAGTACAATCGCAACTCGTCGCAGCAATGAAGAGAACAAAGATTGTATTTCGTAGTATGTATATCACTGTTCCCTTCACCGCGTTAAGCTTCCTCCGCGTTTTATATTCCTTCCGTTACCCGTACCCGTCACCCATTCTCTGCTTTTATTTCTTTTTTCAAATATCATGAAGCTTCACGCTTCGCGACTCCTGTTGCGCGTTTTACGCCCTTTCACCTTCCACTGTCCTATTTTCTCCACTTTTTTCCCACTGTCTCTACGTTAGACGCTTTCACAGGCGTACTGTAATGTTCACAAGCCGTTCGCCATTACCCCGCGCTTCCGCCGCCCCGTTAACAATCATTTTCATAATGCTGTGTTTACGGACAAATTATATGCGAGCGCGCGCGCGCGTGTTTACTTAAAGAAGATACAGTTACTCACATTTGTATTCAGACACATTTTAAAACAGATTAATTTTCTTCAAATGTTAGGGAGACTAGTTTACTGTACGATGAGTGAAATATTTTCTTCTAAACCTGCTATTACTTCGAATGACAGGAGAAATAGAAAAAGCTCGCATTCTTTACATTTTTTACCCGAGCCTATAACGAAAATTTAAACAATACGTTTTGTACGTCTCGATACCTTATATTCGTATAAAAAGTTTTTCGAAATCGGTCGACATTGTTCTCAGCTACAAAGAATTAACGGTCACGAAAATCAGAATTTTTTCACAACTTTTAACCAAAAACTGAAAAATCGAGAGATTTTGACATCTTTCTACGCCTGAGATAAAAAAGTTAAAAGACAGGAGTTTCTTATTTTTCTTTTGTCATTCCAAGTCTAGTAGATTACACCCAAAAAAATAATCAAGTCGTTTCAAAAAAGTTGTTACGTTTTAAAAGGTGTACAAACACTTTTCTCGACCACTGTATATTTTAAAGAAATATATATTAAAAAATAAAAAAAATAAAATATATATTAAAGAACATTGTTCTTTATAAAGTCGTTCATACAATACTGCTATATAACAATCAGCTCTAAAAATATTGTTTACTAGAATACGGATGTTTCTAAGCAAAAACATATTGTGTACTTCAATTTTTCCACTGTCCCGATTTATGAAACGGTTGGATCCGTGTTCCATATTCAATGTTCCTACTTTTGAGCATTTCATATGACCGTTCGAAAATAAGGACACTAAATATGAAACACGAGAGCATGCTACGAAAACGTTGTGTGTGCGTTTCATAATAGGTTCACGCTCGTACTTAACTCATTTATTCGTATTAATTTTCATTTACATTAAATAAATATTTGAAAATTCATTATGTTATCTAGAAACATCGACCTATCGAGCAATAGAATAAATACTCAACGATGACACTTTTAAATTATAATAAAATCACTGATAGTTTTATACCGCCTGAAAAGCGTTCCATAATAAGTACTTCTACCTACGTTGTCGCGTACCATCGGAACGCAAACATAAGGCAGTTAAGATAATCACGGCGGGGATCAAAGCGAGCCCAGCCCCGGCAGCGGACGGTTTAGAGCTTCCTCCGTTCGCCTTTCCGTCGCTCGACTTTTCTCCGCGATGCGGAGCTAGCCAACTTGTTACCCGTGTTTTTATTGTACAAGTTATTGCATGTACGGAGGCCGAACCAGAAGACAACAAATTCTCTTTCGTATCATTCCAGACAGGCTGGCAGTTGGCGGGGTGTGGCACTTTTGAAAAATAACTGGAGGCATTGCAGCGCATCGAGAATGCAGTGACGCAACTATTCCATTATCCCAAGAAGCCAACAACAACCGAAGGAGACGAAGGTATTTTTGAAGACTTTCCATCTCGGTTTTGCCGTGACCCGCTCCTTCTCTTTTACCCGTGTCGTTTCTCAACGTCATTCGAGCCGTGACGAATACCGCGTCGGATACCGCGTCGGATACCGCGTCGGATACCGCGATGGATACCGCGACGGAAAAGTTGCGTGCGTGCATCCCTTTGCCCTTTTTAATAACATCAAGAAGGATCAGCTGTCGCGCGGTGATAGTCGGTCGCGTTCGCGCGCGGATTTTCCGACACGGAATTTCTCTTGGCAGCAGGTATCTGGAGCGTGGAGAACGATGCCGACGTCAATGCCGATGCCGACGCCGGCGTCGATGCCGATGCTGACGCCGACGCAGACGGCCGATGATATTTTTTAGACCGTCCCTCGGTAGATTGATCACAGGTCAGGTGACCGTTTATTGTCCGCCGAAACAAAGTGATTCGGTTGCGACGAAAGTAGAACGAAGCGTGGATGACACGCTCCGTGGAGTGGAATAAATCTGAGCCTTTTGATCGGCGGCGCTCCTTTTATTCCGAAGCTCGATCGTTAAGGTGATCGATTTTGAAACGGAGCGCTGGACGGATGCCCGCTTTTTATTCTCTCATTTTAGCTGTCGATGAATCTCGCAGCTGGTCCGTCGTGTTCTCACGCGACCCCACAGTTCCACGATACATCTGTTTAAATATCGTGCGAGTGCCATTGTTTGACGTCCCGTTCATATTCGTGTCGTAACTGTTTAGTGGCAAACTATTGGGTTGGCAACTAAGTAATTGCTGATTTGTTCAATGAAATAAAAATTTTTTTTCACTTGGAATGAAGTTTAATCTGTAATGTATTTTCCATTTTGTTCGATGACCTTTTGCCATCTCTCTGACAACTTGAAAATCCCACGCTCATAGAAAGTCTGATCCTTTTCGGCCAAAAACTGAGTTAAGTGAGATTTTACAGCGTCATCATCATTAGAAGTTTTACCACGAAGGGAGTTGTCCAGGGATCGAAATAAGTGGTAATCCGATGGCGCGAGATCAGGGCTATATGGTGGGTGTAACATCAATTCCCAACCAATATC